ACATCTAGTGTTAGTGAAATTATACCACGTCATCACTATGTATTTCATCTTTGTCTGATTACTGGACATTTATCTATTAATTTTTTTATCAGTTTTGACATTAACCAACAATATCATTTGCCAACAATACAACTCCTGAATGTAATCTATACAAAAATGGTTAAAATCCATTGATAAATAGTTTCCATTGAGGATTATTGATTTAAGCTTATAAACAGAATAGATTAATGATTAATGATTATTGAAACTTTGTGATATTTATTGTATCAGAATTCATAATCATTCATTTCTCTTGTATATTTTTTAGATATTACAGTATGAGACCGACTCCATGACAATGAATTTCAGTCATGTCATCCATTATTTTTTACTGATTATGACAAACTATGTTATTTATCTTGACTTCTCAAGATCTAAAATAACTAGCTCTTAGAATTTATCATTTAACACAAAAACCATCAATTAAGTTTACTTTGTTATGTAATGTTTATATTACCCTTTTTTCCTCTGTCACTTAGTGGATTTTTTTCTCAACGAATTTCTAATTGTTGGAAAATTCAAGGGGTTAATAAATTGACTGGCCTACAGTAAACGTCTAGTAGCTAAACAATTCCTCCTTAATTTCTCACTTGTTGAAATTAATAAACGTGTAATGTATGGAAAGCCATTTCATTAGCATTTAGTGGCCCGGGATCTGACTCTATGTAGATGGTATGAATGATTGCTGTCGAAATATATATCCTGACTGTCCTCGTATATAATTATCGACTTAATCCGTGTTAGCGAGTATAACGGAATTAAATAAATCGAATATGAGAATGGATTTTTGAATACGATCTACTTGGAGTCAGATGCCGAGCTACTAAAGTTGTGATACTGACGTGATCATCGTCTGATCTAATTAACGTCAAAATGAGCAGCCACACAGACCATAAGTTTCAGCCTCCTGATACTAGTGTTACTAAATATTGACTTTCTGTCCATTGGTCTATATATATATATTTTTTTTCGATGTTTGGTTTCTAGGCTCCTGAAATTTGTTGATATTGTAATGAGCTGAACTGTAAAAATATTGACAATATTTTGTATGAAAACATAATTTGTTTCTCCAATGAATACTGTTTTAATGATTTGTAACAATGAATCTGTTTTAATGGCAAACTAATCTGATTATTTCATGAATAAAAGTTGAATAACAATTGACATGATAAAATAACTTCCTTTTTAAGGTTTAAAAAGTGTGTATTGGTTTTTCAATTCACTATGTTGAACACTGGATATTGGTATATTTTGATCAATGTTAATTCAAGTATTTATTAATTGTCTAGGGTTTCAGTCATTGATAATTATGTTTTTATACTGAAATAATCACAATTCATACTGTCAAACCATTCAATTTCATGACTGTTTAATTTGTCTTTTTTCTTCAATTTAAAACAATGTGGTAGATATTTTCAAGAAAGATTTCGATTTTGAATAGACAGCCATAATTAAATATAAGATACTGGATGTTTAAATCGTGGACTCCCATTAGCTGGATAAAGAGTAACAACCAATATCGCAATATAGAGATTTGACATTATCTAATTAAACATTGTAAACCATTGAATACTGACTGATTAATCTAAAATTAGCTTGCCCATTAAGTGACCTAAAGTTCTTTGGCCCAATCTCTAATGAGAACTAAGGTTTACGTTGTTGGGTAATCCCTAATGAATATAACATAGTGATTCAGTTTTTTTTAGATTTTCATTGATTATCTAACCAAGGTCACTTCTTAATCTAAAGTACAAACTATGAAATCTGTTCAAATTACATTTACTAATCAGAATTGATGTTTTTCCTACATAAAAGTATATCAATAGATTACACAGTAAAATAGTTTAATGTCTCTATTGATTTTCTATAGTTAGAGTAATTTTTTTTCTAACTAACCACACTATTTCTTTCTCTTTAAAGTTTCACACCACTTATTTTATGACTTAAAGAAAATAAGTAAATTTTCATGGTAACAATTTGTGTATACATGTAACTACTTAAATAGTTGATATGATAACCTAATATGATTGATTTGTTAGCTTTCTTTTTCATATAAATTTAGAACAACACATATAAGTGAACAATATTGTTTTCAATTAGATTATCATCAGGCTTTACTCTAATATACATGAATATTGATAAGAAAATGTTAAACCAATCAAGGCAATATGGGTCATTAATCACAATGAAATAGAATAAGTCACCACATATAATAGGTGAAATTCATGTTGATAGTAGGAAGACAGGTGTACTGATAGTAGTAAGAATATTATCAGAATGGGTTTTGTGGAGATTTTTAGAAATTTCACAGGTTGAAATCGTGAGTCAGTTGAAGCTAGACCACCATGGGAAACCTGGAAACACTGGACAGCCGTTTCGTCCTAGTATGGGACTCCTCAGCAGTGCGCATCCACGGTGGTCTAGCTTCAATTGACTCATGATTTCAATCTGTGAAGTAGTAAGAATAATAAAATACGATAACAAAAGTCTTATCAATAGTTAAACGTTGAAAATAGAAGTTCAAACGTGGGTAAACGGACTTGGAATAGTCATCACAAAACATTAAAATCATTATGTAATAAGAAGTATGTAAATAATTAGATAGTGAAGAATACAAACGGCAAGAGGCGGAAAATTACAAACAAATAATGGATGTGAAAATAAGGTTAATGATAACAAAAAATAGAATGAAATAGATAAATAATGATGAAAATTAAAAAAGAAATCGTTTGTTAAGTTATAACTGGCCATGGAAGGGATAGGGGGGTCACGAATTTCTTCTGTACAAATAAATTGGGGTTATATGTACGAACTCCTATGGCTTCAGCTATATGTAGGAGGCGGGAACGAACTCCGTCGGGAAATGATGGAGGTATGCGCTAGATTACTCGAAACCCTTCCGATTTATCTACAGCATGACCGCTATCAATAAGATGTGATAAGATAGAACTGCGAATTGTTTTTATCTGGCCCTTTATAAACCAAGCTGGTAGATGTTCACCCATTCGTTGGTTAAGTTGCCTGGTAGTACTCCCAATATAGCTATCTCCACAGGAGCAGCTGAATTTGTAAATGCACATTGAGGAGGCCAACTCAGGTAACTTATCCTTCGTTTGAGTAGACATCGCTGGTCGACTAGAGAAGGTCAACGCAAGATTGGCTGCGTTGAATGTCCTTGTGATTACTTTCGTTAACCCATATTTCAGAGTGTCACTAGCCACATCCCCGTTGAATTGCACTTTCATGTATAAAGGTTTCTTACGAACAGTCGAAATCTCTGACTTCTTTGTTATGTCATACATGTACTTCTTAATGAAAGCACTGGGGTAGCCCATCTCGGTCAGTGAGTTGTTGATAAATTCAAGCTCCTGACTTAGAGTATCTACTGTACAGATCTTTTTAGCTCTGTTTGTTCAGTCATCCGTGATTTATTAATTGTATTTTATTTCATATAAAAATCTAAGCCAAAAATTGCATATTAAACTTACCCCTCCCTCCCTCCAACACACACACACACATCTCTATCATATCGACATTATTGATTTAATGCTGTACTTTTTATGGATACATTTTGTGAATACAAATATAAACAATTTCAATAATAATATTAATAATTTTATAAAATGGTTTTCTGATTGAAATCACCTAGATGTATACAAAATATGTTAGGACATATTTTACCAAAGGATATAACTGTCTTCACAGAGATACATCTGTAGTTGACCACAACTATAAATTATGAAATGAAAGTATGTAACTTTTTTAACATATACATAAAATCACTTCAGTAATTTGATATCATAATGTGAATAGTATATCTCAATAACATTTACTCATAAAAACCGGATTACTGACGAAACATGTTCCTCTGAATAAGTACTGAAAGATAGAGTAGTTAGTCAGCAAAAATATGGAAAAATTATACACTTATAATCAAAATCGTTACTATAAATTATTTATGAATAAACATCAAACGATCAAAAATCCCACTTAAGAATTTCTGTTTTAAATTTGAAAGTAATCGATACTCTTAGATCGTTTGTTTATTGATGAACCTAAAACTATATCTGAAATGAACATTTCTTTAAGGTCAACCATTTGAAATAAAGTCATTATAGCTGGAAATTGTGAGGGGGAGTCAGTGGGAGTCCCAGAATAGAAGAGCACTATGAGTTCTGGCTAGCTGAAAGCTTAAATTTAAAGCTTTTAATTTATAGCTGTTCATAATCAACTCACGCTACTAATCGACTTGATAGTTAACGTAACTCTCTATATTGTATCGGCACGATTGTCTTATATAGTTTAACCTATAAACTTTGAGGATGAAAACTTTTTTACTCTACTCATTTCATACGAAATTCACTACAGAAAATCTTCACATTAGTATATGAATACTTGGAACTATTTACGTACTACATACAATCTTCAGTCTCTTCAAATAGACAAATACTGATAACTTTTAGATTAGCTAGAGCTTATTAATATCTAAGAAAAATTATAAATTCAAAACCAAAAAAAGGCTAGAATACCCATTTCCTATAAATTCTAAACTAGTTGTGACAGAAATAACAACAGTTAATAACCATATCAGACATCCGACTACGAATTATATAATAAAGAAGTGATATTACTTATGAGATAGAAAAACTTTGTTAATTATTAAAATAAAATCTATGAACTATGTTTTCAACTACCATTGTGAATGATATGTTCATAAAATTTGTGCAAAAATCCTCACGATTGTGGATACTCATTGGTAACCGATGTCAACAATCAGGAAGCCTGATGTTCAAGTATTTTGTTAACGAGAGTGGTATTATCTTTTTACACACTATAGAGCTTCTCTATTTTTTTAAAAATAAACTAGCAATTCACTATAAATTTATAATCAAGTTTTTTCATCTTCTATGGATTAATACAACTTATTATTCCCGATTTTTGTTTATATTTTGATATTACAGCTTGTTGTTCCAATACACAAAGTGGTCAGTGGAAAAGATATGGATGTTCCAGATGTGGTTAGAAGTATATGCCTATGGTTAGGTTAGTAAATAATTTTAATATTTTTATATTATGTCAAAATACTTACTTCTTTCTTACTAATATTTAAGCACTCAAACTAGTTGTTTGAAGTGTTTCTCATGTGAAATTCTCTTGAACATCATTTCGACTCAGAAGAAAAAACTACAAAACATAGCTTAATTAATTAATTATACCTGTCTTAGAAACGTAAAAAAAACAAACTTACACCATGGAGATTTCAAATATTTTCCCTTTACAACCAATCAAACATTAGTCACATGTATTTAATCGATCGAATAATACGAACTATTCATACTAGTTATGGATACGTATTCAGCTGGGCGAATAATGAACATTATATATTCAGCCACATAATAAAAATTGACACGTTGAACAAATAAATAAATGAAGACCAACTATTGTTGAACAGCTGTTCCATTATGTTTTAAGACCCTGAAACAATGCGTATTCAACTAGTAAAAAACGACTGTCAAATACTAGTATTAATCGTGGTAAAAACCTATCATCAAATTAAACAACTTTTAACAGTATTGAATATCTGTGTATTACGTAAATTATTTGAAACCAATAATCCGACTAGAATGTAACTTATCATTCCTTTATATTTTAAGTGTAATGTTTATTTATTTATTTCGTAAACAACAGTAATGCTTCGAGAAGGCAGTGAGTAGAACTTCCCTGGCGGTGGCTGTATACACGTGGCTAATTGATAGCATTTCGAGGAGAGTGGGCTCTTCCCATCCTCGGCTGTACCAGGGCATTTGGGGGCCTAAGTGTAATGAATAGACATATGCTACTAATCATCAGTCTGATTACTTCAAAATCCAGTGATAATTAGTTCAAGTGAACAGCCCATAAATCTTCAAAATGTATATCCAAACGATTTATGAAGAGCTAATATATCAACCATTATTTTACGCATAAAATCAGATGTGCTCTATTGAATATAATTTTACAGATGTAACTGGAAATAATTTTTTTGATTCAGTATTTTATTTAAAAAAAAATAGGTCAAATTTTAAAATGAAATTACTTGAACGAAACAGAAAATGAACTAAGCATTCTAACTTACTTATATGTTACTGAGGCAAAATATCTTAAGTCTAGAGTATTTCTTTGCCATAAAAATAAATCCGAATGTGGGTTTGTAGTAGTTTTAATAGCTGAATTCACGAGTCGATCTAAAGTAGACCACCATTGAAAACGTGGAAGCATTGGACAGCCATTTCGTCCTAGTATGATACTCCACAACCCCACGCTCAGGACTCGAACACAGGACCTTCAATCCCGAGTGGAGTCAGTTATCCACCTCAGACAATGGATGAAGATTTGCGCAAAATCATGGATCGGTTGAAATTAAATATTGACACCGTTGGACGACGAGACAGTCGTCCAGTGATCCAGTTTTTCAGTGGTGGTCTGGTTTACATCGACTCGCAAATTCAACCATTAAAATAAATATAAATTTAAAGATCATTTAAGGTCAGTTGGAGAGCCATGACAACGTAAATATTATTGAAAGCCTAATTCACCTTATTTTGGTACGCCATATTCTCAAGTTTCAGTTCAGATGCTGTTTCATTTAAAAGCCTAGAATAGATTATAGTGAAATATTGGTCATAAATGAAATCAAGTAATTAGTTAACAAGATGTAATAACTATATGTAGGTTTTTGTCTGATTCCAAATGTGATATCATAAGCATGTCAAAAGATATCTAACACCGATCAAGTAGACTGTTATTACATTTCCAATCTAAATCGCTAACGTTTTCTGTGTTCGCTTAATAACAAAATAGAATATACTAATTTTGGTAAATAAGTTCCTGAGAAAGTTTCTTCTAGTTTATTTTTAAACAAAAACTCAAGTGATATGAAATATTCCTCATACTGCTGATGCATTCACTAAAAGCACTGTCTTAATGTCTATCACTTAACCAAATAATCATATTGAAAATATAATGCTTGTGTGAACCAAATTAAATTTTAGGAAACTAAATCAGGATTTCAATTTTCAATACATAAATATTCTCTGAAATAATCATATAAATTTATGAGAACTAAAGTTGAGTGACATTTTGAAACTTAAAGAACAGATGTTCATTGGCTAATAGTGAAAATGGAGAAGCATATTTCGTCCTGTTTTTGACTTATCTTATGGGTATTTCTGTATCGCTATATTGAATAATACAGAAGAACTTGTATCTGACACTTTGTTACTTCAAATGCCCAATCAATTCCAGTTAGCCACTAATTTAATTTTTACCGTGTTATTATTAAGGAAAGAATTTGAATTATTGCGTTGTTGATATTCAAAACTAAATCTTATTTTTATACTAATTTTTTGTAGGTTATTTAAATTCAACTATTAATCCAATCATATATGTGATATTCAACCGAGATTTTCGGTTACCATTTCGAGAAATACTTTTGTGTCGATGTCGTGGCATGAATGCACGTTTAAGATCACAGAAATATGCTTTAGAATATGGTGTGGCAACCTCAAATGCGAGTCAAGGGGGAGGTGGTTGTACTGGAGGTACTGTTGGAGTTGGTTTTACTGGTGCAGGTTGCAGATTTAGTATTTCTGGACCATCAATTACAAACAATGAGAATAATAATATTAATAGTTCTATAAATGGAATCACCAGTGTTTATAGTGGAGGTATAAATTTATACAATAAGACGAGATCTCCAAATAATTCATATAATAACACTGTGAATACTTATCAATTGGAACGCTTCAGAAATCAATCAAATCTGGGTTTTAGGCATTCAGGTCAAATAGACAACCTTAATACATCAACTGGTCGATATAACAGATATCAAAGTGGATCCGTTTCATTTAATCGATAAATAATTAAGACAGAAAATATAACTTTGTTTATTTTATTCTCTACACATTTCATCATCATCATTTCCATTAATAAGTGGAACTGTGAAATTTTCAAAGAGAAATACACCCACTATTCAATGGTTCAATTATCGTCTTTCATTAAATATCAAAGAAATTATATGTAAATTCTTCAATACAGATATGAAAACCTAATAGATAGATGATTAAAAGTAAAAAAAAGAATACTTTACATTATTTTCCTTGTTAAATTTTACCAAGATAGAAACATTAAGTATTGAAAAGATAACAAGTTATTGTGTTTATATTACCCTACTATTTTGGATTGTTTGTTTTTCTTATTTATCACTTGCATAGATTTAGCCTTGATTAGTACAATGCAAATTTTGAATGTTCTTTTATCCAGTCTGTTCACATTTCTATGTATTAAACATTTTTTCCACCGCTTCTTATCTGTTCATATTTTCTTTTCCTACTATTACCCGGCGTTTCAATGTCACTATTTATAAAATATTTTTTTCAGACATGGTTATTTTTATTGAATGTACCAGTGTAATCACTATTCACCGCTTATCACTATACTTAATAAGAAATTCCTATACATTTATTTAATTAAATGTACTGCGCCAATGTTTCAACATATTTACTTTAAATACCCCATAACAACTAAACAAGTAAATTAGTAAAAACTAAACAAATTTATGTGACTCAATTATTGATTGACTTTCTCTTGAATTCATTGACTTCTTCATTGTTAATGATTACTAATTTGAAAGTGTATGCACCGTAGAATTCACAACACTATACATTAAAAAACTGAAACAATTGTAACGACAATGAACAAAGACATGAAAGGAAATAGTCAAAGATTACATGAATAACACAAAACATTCTGTGTATGTACACTTAAGAAAAATTCCCAGCTATCTGCATACTTATATATATATATATAACATATTTGTTTCACTTAATCAGTGTTCATAAAAGATTGCATTATATAATCATTATGTTTTTTTGCTTCTTTTTCTTTTCTCTTCTTGTTCACACGGCAAAAGCAAATCAGTAATAAACTTAGAAAATTCTTTTTTTCTTATTGCATTTAAATGCGCTTATCGATACTCAAACTTCCATAATCATTTTGTTCTTTCAAATTCTCTATAACCTATATAGTTTGTTCCTAGAATTAACACTATATAAATTTGTAATATATATATATATATATATATATATATATATATATATATATATATGCATATCGACACACAGATACAATACATTAATATATTGTATATATTAATCTGTAGTCTCTTGGCTTGCTCATATTGTAGTAAGCACATCATGTGATCATTGTATATTTCGTGTTTATTAATTATATCCTTTCTATTTGCCTGTGTTGTTAATTTATTTGTTTTCTTTTACGGACAGAAGTTTGTGCGTTTAATTCTGTATATTTTTTGAGTATATTCAAATATGAGTCTTATTTCATTCTACTTTTCTTTTCTGTTTATTTTTCACATTTCTTCTTTTCACGTTCATCTTCTTTGATCTTTATCACTATTGTCATTATTATTACTATTATTATTATTTTAATTTTATGATATGTCCATTAGCATATCATTCATAAGAGATGATTAGAATAATATTCATAATAAAAGAATTTACCCGAAGAAATTTATTTGATAAAATAGTCATACTCAGTGTACGAATCCTTTCATGATCATTTTACTTTCAAAGCTGTACAGCAGTATGTAAATATTATATACATATATATATTTAATTTATTAATCAGTGAATAGTTCCTTATTAAAATCCGATTATAGTTTGCGTAAAAAAATGATATCAGTTCAATATCCAGTGAAGATCAGAAAACACCATACAACTGTCTCTTCATTGTATGAAACTCGTAAGCAATGCATTTCCACAACCTTACTAAAGATTGAACCTAACAGGGTATACGAGTTTTACTGTGATTGCTACAACTCTAGATCACTGAGATGGCTTCTGAAGTTCACATGTTCAACTTCAATCAATTTTCAGTATTACTCAACTATCTTATAATTCCACTGATGGGTAACTGCTCCATATTCAACACGATCATACTTCACTAGCCACTGCTTTATAATAACTCGGCAAGAATAATCTGACCAAATTAATCATTAGTAACCGTATGATTATTATTTACTATAAAAAGCTTGTAGAAGTCGTTACACTTTATAGATTCCGTGACGTCATCTCTAAAATTCGACAACTCACGTAACCCCACTAGACTAATTTGATTAGTTGTTATCTGAGATTCAACTACATGATAATTTAAATAAGCAAATCATTATTGAAGGTATAGTTCATAAAGCATGAGATATACGTTGAAATGAAGATGTTTGAATGATAATTAAAGAATGTGTATATAAACGACCTTTATAATACTAAGAGAAATAACAATAGTATATTAGAGTGAATTAGAAATCAAGAAAAGGAGATAACCAAATGAAAAATTAAAATTACAAAAAAAGTCCATGGTCATGAAAGCTATCTAAAAAAATATCCTTACACGGACAACTAAAGTTTTAAATTGTAGATCACCAAAGTTTCCTCAATATAGTGTGGGTTAAAGCTTACACCTCTTGGTTTCCTTGATTAAATTTTGTAAATTATATTAAAGCATAAATCACAAGCTAAATGTCCTACATCCACCACATGCTACAGAACACATGACGTGAATGAGTTATTTCGGCATCCGTTGAGCCATACAGAGAGTTGTTCTAAAGTAGGATGATGAACAGCTTATGAATCCAGTTACCCCAGAGCAGCTAAACTGGTTTACGCACATTGAGTTGGTTAGTATTAGCAACTTATCGTTCACATGACAGATATATAAAAGAATGACAATAGTATTTTATAACCGTAGAAACTGATAAAGGAGTGTTCGAAAACGATTGTTCATCAAAAATATTATGTGTTCTTAAACACCATGGTAATTTTTCAGTACCTAAATATAATTAGTAAGACAAATTATTCTTCACAACTGAATAATCACTGGGTGGTAATCAATGTCATAAGTTTCAAGTCCTTCTTCGTGAAGATCGAGTGCTATCGACCAAGTTGCAATGTGGCCACCAGTCTAGGCGACTCGACACCACCCCGTGATCAATCAGTTGTGAATACATCCCAGTTCTACAGGAAGTCGGTCACGGCCCAGATAGCTCAGTGTTAACGTCTCTGACTGTAAAGCTGAGTGACACGGAATCGAATCTGTCAGGTAGCACCCAGTTCCCTCAAGATTACAGGTACACCTTGTTGACAAGTGCCAAGTAGCACGAAACCCAGGTTCAAGGTTTCCTGTTGGCTACCTCTAACTACCATCTTATAAATTATCCTTATTTTTCAACCAATGTATAAGACATTTGTATTTAAGCATAAAAATATTATATAAACATTCTTCTTCTTGATTCACATTACTTTACTTAAATGTGTAAATATTTAAAATAGTAGATAAACTAACTTTCGAATGTATATTTTCAAATACCTTACAATTGAAATCAATCAACTTTCTTTTGTTATTTAACTATATTCATCTTATTAATACATAATTTAGCATACATCTTACAATCCAACTTCTAATTTTATCTTGTTTTACAGACAGTAAATTATTAATCTTTTCTTTTTCTTTTTTTGTTCAATCATTAAATATTCTAAATATGCATTGTCATGTTGTCGTAAAGGATTAAAAAGAAGAAAAAGAAAAAGAAAAATTGAGTAAAAGCAAGAAGCTAATAACATATGTCTGTTAAAAATATATAAATAATATAGAACTTTATATAAAGATATATTAGTATCAGAAGGGATTTTGTGGAGATTGTAGTAATTTCAACAGTTGAGATCATGAGTCAATTGAAGCTAGACCACCATGAAAAACCAGGAAGCATTGGATGGCCATTTCGTCTTATCGTGGGACTCCTCAGCAGCACGCATCCATGACCCCACGTCGCAGGATTCGAAATCAGGACCTATCGGTCTCGCACCAGATGCTTAACCAACTAGACCACTGAGATATTTTAGATAGAATGTAAATCATTTTACTTAGTAATTAAACAAATAAAAGTAAATAAATAGTTACTAGCTTATTTACTTAATGAGAATTAAATTTTGATATGAGAATGGGGTTATATTAATAAAAACATATATTCAGATAGATTGATTTATATGGAATTAAGAAAGATGTCTTAATGGGTGTATTCCGTTTATTATATGGAATTGTCTCATTTATTTATATTATTGTATAATATCTAATAAAGTACTAATGAAAACATGGGGAGATTATAAAAGCTATTTTATACAAGTATGGAGTTCCTCAATAATACTCAACTACAATTTTATAAGAAATGGAATACAAAACGTTCTATTTTATATATTAGTCTAGATACATTATAATATAATGCTCCATATGTAGAAGACTGAATATTCTTCAGAGGTTTAATTTTTTTAGTAGACATAAATAGTATTTATAGTAAATAATGACTAATATTACGAAGTAGATCATTTGTCAACATCTACTCCATTTCGATCATTCTTTATTATATTACCTGTATCTAGTATAGGTTGCTTCGGACAGTAGAATAATATCCGTTAAACTACAACGTCATAATTGTGACAAATCTGTGACTAGAGAATAATAATGAGCATATTTATATTAATTATGCTATAGATGCATATAAATAGTAAATACTATCAGTTCTCATCGTAATGATGTACAAACCCCTATTCATACTTATATTCAACACTGAAGAAAGATTATAATATGGGCTACAACATTTATACATAATGAGTGTAAATTATTGAAATTTCTCACCTGATTTCTTTTCATCTTAAAGTGGGATTCTATCACGAATATTCTACTGAGTTATGAAAGAACACTTTATAAGCTGCTTACTTTAAATATGTAGTCTTGTTTATGTTTTATAGAAATGTTCATCTTATAGGGATTTACATAATATAACTGACTTCTGACTAACATTTTCCTTCGCATTAATATTTAGTGATTAACGTTCGTAAAAAAAGTGGTATCCTAGCAAAAAAAGTCAACTTGTGTTTGTCTTGTAAATATATGTGTATGTAGATTATT